ACGATAATTCTGGTACGCTGAGAGGGTGAAGTACAAAACTTGGATTTTCCACTACGCTCCATACATTTTTATGCTATTGGAATGGTTTTGCGTCCGCCCGGAGTTAAATAACAAATGTGCTCCGCATCCCACACAATTACTCAGCCTTTGCCCACCGCTATACCATGTCCCATACGATCCTGCCGTGTTTCCACGTGCTCGTCCTAGGTCCTAGAGGTAGCCTCGACGCGTCAATGCTCGCTTGAAGTGCCCCATCACGCGATACTGCAGGCTGATCACGTGCGGATTAGCTCCGGCCGCTTGCTGACTGATACGTTCCGTCCGGCCGTCGATTTACGTCGGTCGCTTTGACGGAAACGAAGGGGAGTGATGACTGGGGAGTGGTAATACCAATGACTCACTGCGACGCGGGCCTCCGCCGTTCCCGGAGATAATTAGTCACAAAGATATTCTTCCGGGTGACTTCGGAGCGTCTGGCTGCGGAGCTAAATCATTTCGGTGATCTGCACCTGCCTTGAGGACGTTAGAAGGTCCGGAATTAAATCCAGAACCCTTCGTCGGTTACTTGTCGCGTAAGAGATTCGACAGGTGGTGTTGAATAAACTTTGGAGGGGATGTATGGTGTGTCAAATTCGCAATTTCGGGGGTCAGAAGATTGCTGGGGCTTATCAACGAAATTTGTGATTTTTTGAGGGGTAAATGCAGCAAAAACACGGGAAACTGGCTCCCGGTGATACTGGAGTCAGGTACAGTGATATGCACAGACACACAACAATCACCAAGGACCAAAAGAAAGAAACCTAAACCCTGTGATATGGGTGAAGGCAGTCCGAGACAACTGAAGGGTATTTAATAGTTCGAGGCGGAAAGGAGGAGTAAGACGCCGTAGGGTAGTCCGTAGGAAGACCTAGAAAAATAAAACAAAAAACCTTGACGCCTGAAACAAACACTAGTGGACGCTCCGGAGTATTTATCTCCGGAAAGTCGCAAACAAAGTCGCAAACCACGGAACCGAGTGTAGGTTCGGGCCCACGGGAGTAGAAAACGCTAAAGGGGACTTGTTTAATTTTTATTTCGCTATGTGAGACTCACCGGAGCTAATTAAATCGATGGCGGAGATAATTTACTCGACGAGTCAGGCCTATTGGCAAAGCTAAGATCGGTTATAATTCGCTAAGTTCGACGCTTTCGAACTTCGAGGGTCGCTGAGATCGTAACGCTAATTCTCTGAGATGGTGAAGTCGAAACTTGTTTTTCTGTATGCTACTTTGTACAATTTATACTACAGGAATGGCTTTGCGACCGTT